GGAGTGTGCCCGGGGACAGCTCAGAGGGAGGGAGGGCCTCCGGTGTGGTCCTCTGAGCACGGAAGTACACTGGCCTTCTGCCATCTGTGCGACCAGATTAGAAGTCCCTAGAAGTGCCCTCCGCATGGTCAAGGCCAGCTGCCCGGAAGGGAGAGCCATGAGAGAATGCTGGCATTGACACAGAAAGGAAGCGCAGCATCTGTGGAGGCAGCACGAGTGCGGATATATGGAGGATGTGCGGGGATCTTCTTGGCCTGGAGCTGATAACTAAAATGATAGCTTAGGAGGGGAAAGCAAAGGGCCCCCAGGACACGGCCCTCTGAGCCCAGGGTGGAGGGAGGGAAGCCAGCCTTGGGCCAGGGGAACGCCTTGCTTGGGTTCAAGCTGCCCCTTGCAGAAGGGGTGCTGGACTCTGGGGCATAAACAGGACCTAAGGTGGGTGGGTTCTGATGGAGTGGTTAGAGTGTCCCCAGAAAGGGGACAGGGAGAGCCATGTTCTTGGCTTTAAGGGTTGGAGGTTGGCTGGCCAGGGTGGAGCCTCCTCATGATGACAAGACCGGTCCTGAGAAGCTTGGAAAGGAGTCCACAGAGCGTCCTGGGACACCAGCAGGAAGCGTGCCCAGAAAAGGCCCCGTCGTCTCTCTAGCGTGACGTGGGATCCAGCTGCAGTCCCTTAGGGCAGGACTGCTTCCCTTGTTCCCAGACCTAGACCCAAGGAGCTGCCTCTGCTTGTCTCGGGCCCAGCTATTTCCGTCTTTGGCCTTCCCAGTTCCCCGGATTGCTTTATTCAATCCTTTGACCTTGTGTTAAATTATTCACTGACGGTTGTGAGAGCACGCCAAGCCAGGCTTCATTCAAGAGCCTGGCCATAGGTACAGGGACATGGCACAGGAGGCAAGCTGGGGGTCTTCTCGCATAGGCAAGTGGGAATTTACAGCCAAGGAACAGGTAGGGGTCAGTGGACAGAAAATGACCAGAGGCAACATCAGGAGGGAGGGGGATTCTGGCTAGCCTGACCTAACCAAGTTTTTGCAGAAGACAGGCCGGGGTGATGAGCTGTCACCCAGGGGTTGGTGGAGGATGAACCTGGTTTACGAACAGGGATAATGGGCTATGAGGATAGGGTCCTGGTGAAAGGTGCATTTTACATGGAGGAGCACAGATAGGAGGAGAGCCTGACTAAAATTTGGTCAAGCAAGCAATCTGCCACCTTGGGCTAGTGGACTTTCTTCCATTTTGATTAAGGGTTGAAAAGAGCTTAGTGACTTGTCCCCTAGTCCTAATATGGAGTGCTGTGATTTGAACTCAGATCTTTGCCTATGCTTAATGGCAGGGCCCGGAGTCCCATGCAAAGAGGGGCAGGATGTGAACCAGTGTCCTAGGGGTGGGAGGGACACCATCCTGTTGGCCCCTGCTCACGTCCTTGAAGCCACAGCTTCTCACCTTCAGCCTGTGAGCTTGAGGGCTGTCCCGTACGCTGTAGAATGGTCAGCAGCATCCTGGGCCTCCGCTCTCCAAATGCCAGCGGGACTCTCTTCTCCCAGTTATGACAACCCAAATGTCTCCCATCATTGTCACATGTCCCCTGGGAGAAGAAACCACCTCCAGTTGAGAGGCTGCCGCTGGTACTGTGATCTCAACGAGCTTCTTTCTCTAAGAGGATTTGACATGGGTCAACGTGGCAGGACAGTGGCTGTCCCAAACACCAAGGTGAACCTCTGAAAGTCTGATGAGAAAGCTTGTCTGGGCTGAAGTTCGGGAGCTTGCATTTGGAAAGGGCATATCGGAAGCCTTCTTTTCCTCCCAGACATTGTTGGGAGGTTGGACACTGTTGGGAGATTTCTGTCCTGTCACGTTTGTGGTGAGAACATTCAAAATCCACTCTTCTGGATATTTTGAAACAAACAGTTGCTGCAATCATCCTGCTGTGCGGAGGCCACCTTTTGGGTCTGCAAGGAGGCATCTGTTGGCCAACCTCCCTGTGCACACGCCTGACATTCAGTGGGTGTTTAAAAGTTTGGTACGATGCTCCCTCTCCTGGTTGAGCCCTGGATGACAGTGTTATTTATTGGGGCTTGGGTTTGGACATTTGGCCTGCCCCCTGGCCCTTGGGGTCTACTTGGCATGGCTGTGCCCTGGGGCTGGGACTCCTCTGGAGCAGCCCCTCTGCCTCAGAGATGGGGCCAGCCTCGAGCCACTGGACACTGAGCCAGGCCAGAGGTTTTCCTTCTTGGCTCTTCTGCTGTTGTGAAACCTGAGCAGAAGCATTTAGATCAGATGGCATGTGAGTGGCACCGCACACTGGGCTGGGTGACCTGTCCCAGCCTGCCTTGGCAAGCCCCGCGGGTCCTGCTCTGGGGAGGCCCCCCCCCCAGGCGTGCTCTTGCGGGTGTGCTAGCAGTGAAGCTGGTCAAGGCAGGCCCCCCGCGCACAGACGACCTTAGTCAAAAGAGGGCGATGGCAGGGACATGGAGGACTGGCGCTTTTCAGGGGACTGTGAAGTGGAGTGTGGCAGTTCCTCCAAGTCAGGGTCACCTTAGGAGCCAGCAGCTCCAGGGCTCGGCGTCCACCTTGGGACTGTGAGAGATGGCTGGAGCAGATGCGGGCTCACCACGGCCCACTCACAGTGCCAAGAGAACACCAGGGCCCGGCTGTCCCTGCACGAGCGAGGACCTGTTCACATGGCGAAGTGCCAGTTGGCCATAGGAAGGGGCAAAGGGCAGACACCAGTCGTGGCTGGGTGGCAGGACAGCAGGGCGCTGGGCGAAAAGTGGGAGGCGGGGAAGGCCACGTGCTGGGACCCGCTGGGGGACCGTCCAGAATGGGAGCCACAGGGGCAGAGCTGTGGTTGCCTGGGCTGGGAAGTGACAGGAGCGAGGTGCCCCGGGGCTGATGGGCGTCCCTTGGCACACACGGGTGGGGGCTGACGGCACCATCGATGGCCTAAGTGCTCCTGGATCGTTCTCCTTAACACGGCTGGTGTCACGTTGTGGGGCTCTCACCTCAATAAGAGGAAAGACAGACCCCTGGGCACCCACCTTTGGCCATCACATCTTGATGGGGACACTCGTCATGCTCCCTGCCGCTGGGATGGCTTCCTCCTGGCCCAGCCTCCTGGGAGGTGGCTTCCTGTGGCACAGACCCCGCTGACCAAGTTGCCCGCCTGGTGAAGGGTGTTTCACCTTGGCGGTCTCACCAATGCAGTTCCCAGGAAGCCGGGACACCTTTTAAGAGGCGTTCCCTCTCTAACTGTGCTCTTTTTTAAAAATAGTTTTTTACTTTTAGATGAACACAGGCCTTTATCTTATTCGTTTAGGTTTATGGGGTGCTGAGGATCCAACCCCGTGGCTCTCGTGTGCCAGGCGAGTGCTCTGCCACTGAGCCCAGCCCAGCCCCCTCTAACTGCTCTTTTGATGGGCCCCCCTGGCACCTGGCTTCTTCCAGGCCTGTGACAATGAACCAGGCCCCAGGTCACCTGCTTTTGGGTGTCAGTCTCTGTTTCTGCCCCTCTGACACCTCAGATGAAAGAGGCCTGCTGGCTGGGACCTGAAGGGCCCGGCCACACAAGGCACCGTCCCTGCCCTTGGCTTTGCTGACCCAGTGCGTTATCCCGCGACCCTCCGGGCACGCTGGTGCCAACTATTAATGTCTACCACACGGAAGCCCCATGTCGAGGTCTAGTGCACTTTAGCTGCATTTTCCAGGAGAATGGCACTTACCGGCTGGACCCCAGAGTCGTCACTGCCTTGATGGTCACTTTGACCTTCCCCTAACTTGTCTCTGTCCTTCTGCAGAGAACCCGCTGGGTCCCAGGAGAGATGGGGAACAGCAGGAGCCGCGCGGAGCAGAGGTGTCACTCCCAGTTCCTTCCCGGGGAGCAGGCGGAAGTCGATGCGCTGTTGGACACTCTGTCCTTGGACACGGGCAGCTCTGAGGCCTCGCCCAGGTCCTTCTCCCTGCAGGCGCTGAAGGCAAGGACGGCCAGCCGCCGCGTCCCGTGCTGAGCTGGGCCCAGGGTCTGTGCACCCTGGTCCCGGGGCGGGGGGCGCACTGAGGAGTGGAGGGCCGCCTGGTGTCCCTTGTGGCTCCTCTGCCCTGCCTTGCAGAGCTGCCATTGGTCACGACGAAAGGTCCCCTCGTCTTTGTTGAAGTCACTCTAGTCGTATTTGTATGGAAGAACGGAACCAGGAGTAGATGGGAACCTCCACAGAGTGTGGGGTGTTTCTGCCTGAGCTGATGTGGGGCATGGGGAGCAAGGGGGGCCACTGCCTCCTGCCCTGGAGCCGAGTCTCCTGACACAGGGTGGCAGCTGGGGGCAAGGCTGCTTCAGTGCCTCGGGCGCCCCTGTGCCCCTTACAGTGCTCCTGACGCTGTGCTGAAGACTCACGTTCCAGGGCCTCCTTCAGGGAGGTGAAACTGGCCATTTCTATAGGACCCTCAAGTGCTCAACCTGGCAGGACATGACCAAAGACTGCATTAGTGCGTCTCCCGGGCGCGGGGCAGTGTGGGTCTGACGGGGCACTGGGCGCACCCACACCTTGCAGACGAGGAGGCTGGCCAGGGAGGCTTTGGGGCTCTAGCTCATGGCGCGGCCCACGTGTGTGCCCGTGTGTCTCCTTCAGACCAGGAGCACCCAGTGGGCCTGGGCACACACGGCTGGAGCTGAGCGGACCAGGCAGGCCAGGACCTGACCGCAGTGGACGGCTGAGGTGGTGAGCCCTAAGAGCTGACCTTAGCGCCGTGTCCGGGGAGGGCCAGACAGAACTCTGGAAGTGGACAGAAACCGGAGTCTCCTGAGAGCGCCCAGGAGGGCTGCAGCCACTGACGCGGTGACAGACGGCGCACTCTGGGGCTGGTGGGAGCCTGCACTCCGACCCCGCGCAGACCCTGTGACTCTGTTCATGGCTAGTGCTCTTTTCTGCTTGTTGGCCGTCCCTGGTCAAATCACATTCGATGTTGAAGCCAAAAAGAAAAACAGTATTTGTATAATGACATCATTAACGTGCCGATTGAGAAACCCAAAAGTCTAGTGGAAGTGACGAAATGCATCTTGAGCACAAGAGTTGGGCTGGTGCAGCGGACCCAGGCACTCGGAAACCCCTGGGTCTGCAGGGACGGGCCACGCGGGCGAATAGGCTCAGATGTGGCAGCACAAGGCTCTAACCCACATGATCTCCTAAGGGGTGACAAGCAGGAGGAGTGATGGGCAGAGGCAGGAAAGACGTGGCCAACCGGGGACACTGGACAGTGTGGCAGGCAGGGCAGGAGCAGAGTGGGGGATCTGATGGCCAAGGCAGTCGCGCGCTGGGCCCTGTGAGGGTGGGCCCTGCTGAGAGCATCAGGGTCCCAGCCCCCAGCTCACTGCCCTGGGACACTACCAAGTTGACCTGTGCCCCTCCAGCCCTTTCTCCCACCTGTCCCCAGCAGAACCGCATTGGGGAGGCTCTTCCCCCAGAGATGGTCAGCAGACTGTATGACGGTATGCAGAGAGTCCAGCCGCCTGGGAGGGCTCAGCGGCCCAGCAAGGGCGTCTCTCAGGAGCAGTTCACAGTGTCGCTGTCCCACCTGCTGAAGGGCAGCTCTGAGGAGAGGAGTCTCATGATTCTGAAGATGATTTCTGCCAACGAAGGTCCCGTGAAAGCCAGAGAACTCCAGAAGGTAGAGGACCCCTAAGTGGACTTGGCCATGGGCTTGGAGCTGGGGTGGGACTTGGCTGAGATTTCTGCTCCGGGGAACCTAGACCATGTACCCTGTGTCCGGGGTCTGAACTCCTGGACAAAGGCTGGGGCAGGACTTGTAGGTCAGCCATGTGTGTCACCAGAAGGATGAGGACCTGTATGGGTTGGGGACTTCCTGTCAGCCATGTGTGCCACTAGAAGGGTGAGGACTGTGTCCGTTGGTGACTGCCCCATATTGCGGTCCATGGTGCGGGGTGTTGGGGAGAACTGGCCGGCCCACGGTGGTGTGGTGGGGTCTGGGTCATGTGGACACTTGTTACAGGTGGAATTGTGGGCTTGCAGTTCACAGAGGATCTGGTTGGCTCTGTGGAGCATGTGCTGGCCCACAGGCAGGAGCTGAAGGGCTGGACCGGGAAGAAGGCCCCCGGAACCCCCACCAGGGTGCAGGCACTGGCTGCCCACCTGCTGTCTGAGATGAAGCTTCCAGGCAAGTGCCCGGCCATCCTCAGCGACGCTGGCCTTGGTGGTAGGCTGGGGGTCTCCAGGGCTGTGGCCTTGCAGCGAGTCTATCCAAGCGGGGCTGGGAGTAGGGGTGGCTGAGCCCTTGGGTGTGTTCTGAGTGTCATGGGATTTCTGTATAATTCTAGCCATGGCCCCACCTCTCTTGCTGATGTGAACAATGTTTCTCTATTTTTTTGTGGATATCCTCAAATAACCAGATTTTGATTCTATTGATTTTTTAAAAAACTCTTGTTTTTCTATTATTCCATGTATTTTGCCCTAGTCTTTTGTTCCCCTCCTTCTGTTTGCATTAGGTTTAGTTCGTATTCTTTTCCTGATTTCTTAAGATACAGGTGGAGATGATTGATTTGAGATCTCTCTTCACTGTAGGCAGCATCAGCGTAGGCAGCTATGAATTTCCCTCTAAACACTGCTTTAGCTGCACCCATGAGTTTTAGGTTTTGTTTTCATTCATCTTAGTGTTTTCTAATGTCCCTTATGATTTCTTCTTTGACCTATTGGCTATTTAGAAGTGTTATTTGGTTTTTACATGCTGTGAATTCCTCAAATTGCCTTTGGCTACTGATTTTTAATTTTATTTCTTCATGGTTGGAGAACATATATTGTATGATTTACTGGGGCATCTTTTCTGGCCTAGAATATGGTCTACTTGGGGTATTGTCCATCATACACTTGAGAAGCATGTATTCTGCTATCGTTGGGTGAGAAACAGTATATATTTAGATTTACTTGGGATTTGAGATTTTAAAAAACTTCATGGTGAAGTCTCTCTACAAAGTAGAGGTACTTTATAAATATGTTACTCTTTTATTATAAAGCTAGGTTTTAAAATACAATTTAAAAATAAGTCATTTTTCAAATATTTAGGAAGGTATTTGGAATGTGGAAAGATATACATATCAGTATCTTGTGGGTGAATTATTTGTTTTATTTTAAAGAGAGAGAGAGAATTTTTTAATATTTATTTTTTAGTTTTCGTGGATACAACATCTTTATTTTATTTTTATGTGATGCTGAGGATCGAACCCAGCACCCCACGCATGCCAGGTGAACACATTACCGCTTGAGCCACATCCCCAGCCCAATTCTTTGTTATTTCAAAGTCAGTAGTTTTAAAAAGAAGAATCATAAAAAAGATAAAACTTAAGTTAACTTGTCTTTTAACTAGAAAAAGTTAAATCAAACAATTAAAATTATCCTTAAGATTTCAGGTAATGAACAGGTAGTGAGAAATGTATTTGAAAACTAGTTTGATTAGAACTGATAGGAATTTGAAGCCTCCTACAAGTTGGGAAGAGGATGATTAAGTAGTTGGGTTTCCACATTTCCTGGAATTTCTGTATAATTCTAGTAAAATGGGCAGGAGTTAGAGGAGAGGCTTCACACGCACTAGTGAGTTTAAAAACAGAAGCTCCCTGGACCTGGCGGTGACCACACGGGGGGTCTGGAATCGCGTCCATCGTGCCCACAGGGAAACCGGGGCTGCTTCAGGCCCAGGTGTTTCCTGTGACATCACCGTGTCACCTCACTCTGTAGGTGAGAGAGGGACAACAGCATTAGCTTTTCCCAGATCAACTAGAGGGTCCCCGTGAGTGACCAGCCACCCCACCCTGGACAGTTGACCCTTGGGGCTGAAGCCGTCACAGGTCCCAGCTGCTGAGGCACGGGGGACGCGGCTCCTTGTAAGGGCCTGGATGTGAGGCGGCCAGCTGAGGTGCAGCTCGGTGGGCAGCTCAGTGGGAAGGAGAGGACAGGGGTCGCGAACTCAAATTGTTGAGACCAGCACTGGAGAAACAAAGCAGGCCCCACGTGGAGTTCCAGAGCTTCATAGCAGCCACATTTGAACAGTGGGAAGGACCGGGAAGGTGATCTTAATACACCCCGAGGGACCTCGACAGGTAATCAATGTGAACAGGAGGCTGTGAGCTGTTTCCCGGTCTTTTCTGTACCAGGCGCATCTCCAGTCAGCCCAGCCGCCTCCCGTGTCCAGGGTCACACTCGGTCCCCAGCTCCTGTTTCTGTGTGGCTCAGTCGCTGGAAGGTGCCGTGCTGGCCCAGTGACACCATTTCCCCTCCTAGATGGCAGCAGGCCGCTGGGGCCTCACTGGCTGGACCATGCCTGTGACCGAGCCACGGTCGAGGACTGGGTGTTCAGGGTCCCCCACGTGGCCACGTTCCTGAGAGTGGTCATCCACCAAGGCTTCCCGGTCCTG